GATACTGTTCTCATTGCCCCTATGTGGAATAAGAACCACATTAATGTCAGATACATCAAGAGTGCAATCTGAGCTCTACAACTTAATAGGAAGATGGCTACTGTACTGATTCTCAATTTATTCATTTGTCCAATGATAGTAATAATATTTACTACATAAGGATAATATAGAAATTAAGTGAAATAAAGTATATTATGTTTGGTATCTAAAGAAAGAAATAAAAAAAAATTATTTCCTATTGCCCTGTTCTTACTTTGTCAATTTTTTTTAAATGGAAGCTTCAAAATCTGAGTAGAAATATGTGGAAAATGCTTATAATAACATGTAATTCATTAGTACTAGTTAAGAAAGTGATAGCCCCTCTTATATACAGAATATTTTATGAAAAGAAAATGTATTTTACTCTTTCTTCCTGCATGTCTAATTTGAAAAGTATAAAGTTATATTTTTAATGCCCCTAAGTTGATAAATAAGAAATAGAGAATAGACATATGCTGTACTTATGACTATTAGATGCTGTAATAAGAATTAACAAAAAAGTCTTTTGCTAGTTAGTTACACCAAAAAATTGTATCTTATTTTCCTAAAGTTAATGAATATTGTTTCACTAAGTAAGATGAAGCACCTGAGCCAATAATTAAAACTCCATTTGTAATGTGTAGCCTTAGTAACAGGTCAATAGGATGTACATGTCTGTTGTGATGGAATAGCATAGATGGATGTAGAGGTAAAAGCATCTCCCATTTTTGGTGACAGAAATGTGGGGGAAGAGTGTATGAAGGGAAGGCATAGCATGAAAAGATTGAGCTCTGGTCACATTCTTGGCCTCTTCAGTTATGTCTCCTAGCATTCATGATTTTTTTTTTCCCCATGATGATTTTTGACTACTTGTTTAGCTTTAAGCTCCCCACTTTTATTTTTGTTTAAATTCAATTAACCAATACATAATACATCATTAGGTTTTGGTATAGTGTTCAGTGATTCATTAGTTGCATATAACAGCCAGTGTTCATCCATCACATGCCCTCCTTAATTCCCATCACCCAGTGACCCCATTCCCCCACCCACCTCCCTTTTCACAATCCTCAGTTTGTTTCCTGGAGTCAAGAGTCTCTCATGGTTTATCTCCCTTGCTGATTTCTTCCCATTCAGTTTTCCCTCCCTTCCCCTATGAGTCTTTGAGCTATTTCTCACATTCCATATATGAGTGAAACTGTATAATTGTCTTTCTCTGACTGACTTATTTCACTTAGCATAATACCCTCCAGTTCCATCCATGTTGACATAAGTGGTAGATAGTCATCCTTTCTGATGGCTAATACTCCATTGTATATATGGACCAGGTTTTCTTTATCCATTCATCTGTTGAAGGACATCTGAGCTTCCCCCCCCCACCACAGTTGGCTATCATTGACATTGCTATTATGAACATTGGGGTGCATGTGTCCCTTCTTTTTACTACATCTGTATCTTTGGGGTAAATACCTAGTAGTCCAGTCACTGGGTTGTAGGGTAGCTCTATTTTTATCTTCTTGAGGAACATCCACACTGTTTTCAAGAGCAGCCATACCAGCTTACATTCTCACCAACAGTGTAAGAGGGTTCCCCTTTCTCCACATCCTTATCATCATTCATTGTTTCCTGTCTTGTCTATTTTAGCCATTCTAATTGGTGTAAGGTGGTATCTCATTGTGGTTTTGATTTGTATTTCCCTGATGGTTAGTGATGTGGAGTGTTTTTCATGTGTCTGTTGGCCATTTGTATGTCTTTTTTGGAGAAGTGTCTGTTCAAGTCTTCTGCCCATTTCTTAACTGGAATATCTGTTTTTGGGTGTTGAGTCTGATAAGTCCTTTATAGATCTAGAATACCAGCCCTTTATCTGTTATGTCATTTGCAAATATCTTCTCCCATTCTGTAGGTTGCCTCTTAGTTTTATTGACTGTTTCCTTTGCCATGAGAAGATTTTTATCTTGATAAAGTCACAATAGTTCATTTTTGCTTGTGTTTCCCTTGCTTTAGAGATGTGTCCTGCAAGAAGTTGCTGAGGCCAAGGTTGAAGAGGTTACTGCCTGTGTTGTCCTCTAGGATTTTGATGGATTCCTGTCTCACATTGAGGTCTTTCATCCATTTTGAATTTATCTTTATGTATGGTGTAGGAGAATGATCCAGTTTCAGTCTTCTGCATATGGCTGTCCAATTTTCCCAGCACCATTTATTGAAGAGACCATCTTTTTTCCATTGGATAGACTTTCCTGCTTTGTCAAAGTTTAGTTGATCATAGAGTTGAGGGTCCATTTCTGAACTCTCTGTTCTTTTCTGTTGATCTACGTGTCTGTTTTTGTGCTAGTACCATTCTGTCTTGATGATCATAGCTTTGTAATATAGCTTGAAGTCAGGCATTGTGACTTACCCTGGCTGTTTGGGATCTTTTCTGGTTCCATACAAATGTTAGGATTGTTTGTTCCAGCTCTGTGAAAAATGTTGATGTTATTTTGAGAGGGATTGCATTGAATGTGTAGATTTCCTTAGGCACTATATACATTTTGTTTATTTTTTATTTATTTTATTTTTTAAAGATTTATTTATTTATTTATTTATTTGACAGACAGAGACACAGTGAGAGAGGGAACACAAGCAGAGGGAGTGGGAGAGGTAGAAGCAGGCCTCTTGCTGAACAGGGAGCCCAATTCAGGGCTTGATCCCAGGACCCTGGGATCATGACCTGAGCTAAAGGCAGATGCCCAACAACTGAGCCACCCAAGTGCCCAGAATACATAATTTAACAATGTTTATTCTTCCAATCCATGAGCATGGAATGTTTTTCCAACTCTTTGTTTCTTCTTCAATTTTTCATAAGTGTTCTGTTGTTTCTAGAGTATAGATCCTTTACCTCTTTGATTAGGTTTATTCCTAGTTATCTTATGGTTTTTGGTGCAATTGTGAATGGGATTGATTCCTTAATTTCTCTTTCTTCAGTCATGTTGTTAGTGCATTGTTAGTGTACAGAAATGCAACTGATTTCTGTGCACTGATTTTGTATACTGCCACATTGCTGAATTGTTGCATGAGTTCTAGAAATTGTGGGGTGAAGTCCTAGCCTCAGCAATCAGACAACAAAAAGAAATAAAAGGCATTCAATTTGGCAAAGAAGTCAAACTCTCACTCTGCAGATGACATAGTACTTTCTGTGGAAAACCCAAAAGCTCCCCACATTTCAACAAACAGTTGGAATGGGTGGGCAGTGGTCTAAGGTACCAATTGCCACAGCATCTATCAGTGGTTAATGGCTTTCTACTGTTATTAGCTAATAGTGTTCATTGACCATTTCTATCCTGGGCGAAAATCCCCAGGATAGAAGATCCCCAGGATATCCTTACTCTCTAAGGATACCTGGCATTAAAACCTAGCATGGAAGATTCAGAAAAATCCAGGGCTTGGATTCACAATTTATTCTTTGTTTAGTTACCTAAATGCATTTCTCCTCCTTTTTAAGATCCTAGTGTTAAGATAAGCTCATATAATTTGCTTAGGCAGGACTTCTATAAAATTTTCTCCTCTGTTTTTACTGCTTTATTCATTTCAGCGGCCACGTGAAACAGAATTATTCCTTTATTTATAAAACTTCATTTGTTTTCCCAATTTTGGTAGGTTTTTTTTTTCACTTTCCAATCTTAATATATGACCATAATTCTCACTTCACTTATTAATATATTCTTGTCTGTCATTCTTCCCCAATGTCCTAATTCTCTATCTAACACTCTTAGTAATATATGGATTAGTGAAAGTGTTGATGGTAGTATGTAGCCAAATGAAGGATCAGGTGAATACTTGAGGCCCCTCACATCCCCCAGACAAAAATGTATACACAATTTTACTTACTATTTCTGAGGTAGGAACAGCCTTCAGGCTTATTTCTAGATGGCCTTAGAAGGCAGAAACCCCAGATTAACATTGCTGTGCATAGATAATTTTGCAACATCACAACTTAAAGACATAATGAATCAGAGAAAAATAGTTATTCTTACAAGCTGAATGAACTTGTTCTTACCAATTCACCTGTCCTACATAATTCATCAGTAAAATGAGGTGGTTGGTATACTTGGTGTGTGGATTCTCCTTAGCTCCAGTTATTAAAGATTCCATAATTCCAACTGTAAATGCTTTAACTTCATAACTGTGTATGATTCAGTAATATGTCTTATCTGTTTATTGAGGATAGAAATCCTATGTATTGAATGTTAAAATGTAACCCAAGGATGTGTTTTCGTCAGAGAATGATCATATTATTGCATCATAGGATAGAAAGGTAGAAATGGATGGATAGATAGATAAACAGATGATGATAGATAGATAGATAGATAGACAGATAGATGATAGATAGAGAGATGATAAATCCATTGATCTCCTAAATGGGGAAGCAGGGAATTAATTGTAATGTTTTAAAAATCTTCTAGATACTGTAATGAAATTAAGTACTTAACATGTATTGTCTCATCTGATCCTCACAAAACTTTTGTGTGGTAGTACAATTTTATTTTATAGATAAAGGAATTGGATATCAGAGAAATTAAGTGGCATTCTCGTAGTCATATGAGTATGAGTCAATATATGGCAGAGATGAGCTTCAGACCCATCACCTATCATGTTCCATCACCAAATTTTCCTAAAAAGAGTATTGGATTAGAACAAAAAACAGAAACGTGAAAAAGAAGAATAAATGGGTTATGATGTCACTTTTTTATAAAGAATTAAACAATTGTAAGAAAATGGTAATGGAGAGGCATAAAACTTAGGGGCTTTCTACTTTCAAATCTGTGTGCGCTTGCATGTGTGTATACCATAATATGTATCAATTGAATGTTACTATTTTACCAAATGCTTTATGGGTATCATTATTTTTATTTTAAATTATTTTTAGTTTTATTCACATTTTGATGTTACTTTTAATATAGGATTTTTCAATACAGAGTAGCTGTTAACACAGCATCCCATGCAATTACCTGTGGTGGAAGCAGTGGCAGTCTTATAAAGGCAAGAAGCATACTCAAGTCATTGCATCGCCTCTGCATATCATACTTGACCCACATCATTAATGCATGGAAGATAGTTTCTTCATCAGGAACATTTACATCATCGCTGGCCAGGAGTTTATGGAGCTCCTCAGCTGGAAGCAGTAAAAACTCTTGATTTCTCATAACTTCCATTATGTTTTCCTGCAGGGAGAAAACATCTTGGCATAAATTTGGCTTCACTTTGATTTAGCTGGGAAAGCATCTCAGAAAGAAATGAGAAAAGTCGTCAATAACCTTTGTTCTCATTAGAACATAATCCTTGAGACTTAATCCTTCAGAAACCAGAAGCTGTTAAAATGAAAGCATTGTAATTGTAATTGAAGTGTAAATGTATCCGAGACAGCACAGATCTTGTAATAACTGGAGGATTATAATGTTGAGCTTTATGATGCAGGCAGAATGTACTAAGTGATTAAATGTTCAAGTTTCAAGTGGACTGCTATGTAAGATTTGATGACTGTGAAGAGAATAGCATTTCAAATTTTTTAAAGCTAGACTACGTATACATGAATCAGAAAGCAGGAACGAAATTACATAGGGAGTAAGTAACACTACAAGATGCATCATTGTTTATTTAGAAGGGAATAAAACAGGACAGATAGACCTTAGAAGTCCCAAAAGCATATATGTTCCACCCTTTTATTACCTCTCATACGTCCCTCCTCTCATGACAATTTCTCTGGCTTAATTTAGATTCCCACTTATTTTCTTCCAGATTGCTGCCATAACCTTCTAATTACTCTGCCTGACTCTATTCTTAGCCTGTTTACTATATCCTCTATAATCATGCTGAAATGATAGTTCTACAACATAAATTTCAGGGCATTCCTCTAAAGTTTTTGCTTGGTTTGGTTTGGTCTTCTTTTGTCTTTTGATTCAGATCTCTTGGTTAAGTACACTAATTCATTATGATCTGACCTCTTCCTTAGTTGAAGACTACAGTTCTTAATTTTTCTTGTGTTCTAGTCACCATTACTTTTTCAGTTTTCCATCCTGTTTAACATGTCCCCCCTCACTCATCTGTTGCTTAAGATGACTTTAAAAAAAAAAAAAGATTTTATTTATTTATTTGACAGAGAGTGAGACAGGGAGAGAGGGAACACAAGCAGTGGGGAAGTGGGCAGTGCTGGTGAGAGAGGGAGAAGCAGGTTTCCTGCTGAGCAGGGAGCCCAATGTGGGGCTCGATTCCAGGACCGTGGGATGACGACCCCAGCCGAAGGCAGACACTTAACAACTGAGCCACCCAGGTGCCCCAAAAATGACTTTTATGCACTTTGTTTTCCTAATTTCTGCCATTTTCCAAGATTCAATTCAAAAGCTACTTGTTACATATGGAACTCTTGAGCCCTGTTCACTCATGTTGGATCTGGCTACCCCACCCACCATGCATGCACAATGCATGGTATTTGGTATCTCTGAGACAGCAGTTACCCAACTGTGGCCTCATCTTCAGTGCCCTTAGGGGTGTTATCACCAACTTTAAGCTTCTTGAGACAAATTTTCCTTGACAATTAACCTTGCATATCTAGATCCTGGCACATAGCAGGTGAACAGTACTTATTTATTGAATAGATGTGTTGGTGATCTTTGAGGAGAAAAATAAAATTTTGGAAATAGTACACAACAGTGCAGCATTTTTCAAACACAATTTTAAAATGACTTGTCAAAGACCTTCTTACATGCTAGCAGAGAGGCTTTGGTCACAGATATATGGTTAGAGAAGACAGTGATCTGACTGGCTGCCTCTTTTGTTCCACCTCCTCCCAGATCTCAGTTCCAAGGAAGACAGAGGTAAGGTTTCTCAGATCATAGTTTTAAAGGCACAGTTGTGGTAGAAATCCCAATACATGCCTATTGTAGGAAAAAACCTGAAACAGATGGGACTAGATTTTTTTCCCAAAAGGCATGATGACTATGCTACTAAGCTAACCCTGGGTAGAAGATTCAGCCAGTGGCTGTTAAACTCTACGTCAGAGCAGATCCAAACCTATTTTCTAAAAGAGACCTAACCCACCTTTTGAGTATATCCTTGGAACTGAATCCAAGACTTGAGGTGCTTTCAGCTGTCACAAAAGAATGTCAACCTTTACTTTTGTTCAGGTCATTTGTTCTATTAATTTACATTTGACTGACATCACAGAATAGCTGATTTCCTGGAAATTTTTATCCCCTGTGTTTCCTCTGTGCCTAATACAAGTACTATGCAAATTATAGTTGTCCAATATCTATTTAGTGAATTAACCGATTGAGTGTTCTGAGATGTGGGGCCACCAAGTTTCTCTAAAGGACTCTAGTAAGACAAAGATGTTTCTCAAGAATCTTTGAAAGATTTTTTGCCTATCTGTTTTTCCAGCTACTGAAAAATCTATGCCTCTATTAAAGCACACACAGAATTGTAGAGCTAAACCATAGTACGGGGTACCATAAAAAAATCAGGTCTATGAAACTCTTAGTGATGTCTATCAAAGATATTGTTTAAGGCATATTTTGTTATATTTTACAGTTGCCTCTTTATGATGACCCTTGGGAGAAATTTCTTGCAGGTTTTAGTAGCAAGAATAATTGCACTTCTCCTGAGTAAATTGGTTTGCTTTTATCATGGATGTTGTAAATTATGAAATTGATCAGATTTCTCTTTTTATTTGGCCTCTAGAAAACAACGTTAAATTGAAGTCTATCTGTTAGGAAGGCTATAGCCTTTTATAGTTTGATTTCTTTTTCAGAAAGCTCCAATAATAGTTTCATTTAATATCACTACAGCAGATTATATATTTTTCTTTTATCTCTGCATCTGATTTAGGATGTATTCTTATAATTTTATATCCTTGTTAACCATACTACATTTTTGGGAATAAGTCACGTGGTTTGTAAAAATGACCATAAATAAACTGGACATTAGGAGCTAATATCAGATATTATTGGATCTCTCATACTGTTTCATATATTATGTTGTTTATTATTTTTTTTCTGTATGTACTTTAGAGTTCTAAAGTTCTCTTTGCTCTTTTTTGTTTTCTCCATCAGGTCTCCTTTTCATGATATCCTGCTTAACATTTTCCCATTTTTTGCAATCTAGCTTCTGGAAATTGTTTTAATTTCATTATGTTTGATTCACTAAAGAAAAAATATAAATTCACACGAGTTTCCTTAACCTTTCCTGTGCACCTCAGCTAACTCCTTGTGTGAGAACAAGTAGGGAGAGACATCAAAATTCCTTGGCTTATTTACTTTTTGTACAATAACTTTACTTTAAATTTATTCAATACTCATTCTATATAGATTTCCTGAACACCTAACATATGGGCCTGGATAATTGTGGTAAGGAGAACAAAATGGATTTGCATCAAAAGCTTACCACACGTGGGACACCTATAAAATGTGCAGTGCTTAGAAAATGACTTGTCAAGTCTGGAAAAGCCAGTTTTTCAAATGTACCTAGAATATTAGGTAGGAGAGTAAATTAGAAAATGGGAAATGGAAAGATATAGTATTACAACTAGGGAAAAGCATATAAACAAAGACATAATAGCAGGTAATATAGTATAAAGTGCCATATTTGGTATGTCAGTTTAAGAATGAGCACAGAAAAATTGTGAGAAATAATATTGACAGGGTGATTTAGACCATATAATGGAATAAATTTATTCTAAAACTTTGACAGTCTTTCCATTAAATGGGAATATATCTATACGTATATCTTTTATACATAGATTAAACTATTTATTACAAGGAAAATTTTAGCACCCAATTTAAGTTGCCACTACCAAAGACACAGATAATCTTTATTAATTACAACAAGATTCAATTCTACTATTTTTTCTACTTCATAACACTTTAAATAATTCTGCTATCTAAAAAATTTTACAAATTTTTGAAAAATTTACAATTTTGTTTTCTAAGCAGAATTTTACCATTATTATTTATTTCCTGAATTTGACATAAACATTTTCTAATATTTATTTTATTTTTTCCCTTAATTATATTGTTGTCTTCCTCTTATCTTATTATTGGTATATATCAATAATTTGAAATTCCAGTAGAAGTTCATTTTTCTATGTCATTTTGAAAGTTAGCTAACAATTAGTGGTCATATTGGTCAAGCAGTATATAAATGAATCCTTTCAATAATCAGATTTTAGTTATTAATTTAGTTTAAAATTTGGATATTAAATTATAGTAAAATATTTCATTAATGTTCAAATAACTTCAACATAAGCTTTACAGTGTTTACCTCATTAATAGTTACTACAAATACCATACATTATATACACCATTATGGTTGAAACAAAGAAACTGCTTTGCTATGAATGTCTACTGAATTAAAATCTGTTTCACCATCTTGCACTTTGTGACCAGAGGTCAGTTAGAAGAACCTCCAAAAAGAAGGAGAAGGAGAAAGAGAAGGAGGAGGAGAAGAAGAACCTCCTCATCAATGCTTTCAATATTATGTTGGGAATGATAATCCTTTGCCAGACTACCACAGAATCTCTGGCTTGATTCCAAATCACCAGAGGCTATGGGATTCATTTAATTGCCCATTTAAAAAGTTATTGGTTAGAAAGATATATTCTTAGGAGGCTCATACTATCAAAAAAATGGAAAACTAAAAGGTGATCCTGAGAATTGCCATATATCCTCTGATTGAGGCTCATTATATAAATATGAAAATGTAAAGTTTGGGTCTAAAGTCTGAATTATAAAACTATAATTCCTTGCATCCTTTGCAAGGAAATTTTTTGAGAATTTCTGGTATATGCATGATTCTACTATTGTCAAGTACAAGACTGAAAAATGTGTACCTTGACTTCTGAAGCAGAAGTTGCGTCATGTACCAGATTGAGTAGTGTCTCCCAAAACTTCACATCCACTTGGAACTTCATTAATGTGACCTTATTTGGAAATAGGGTCATTGCAGATGTAATTAGTTAAGCTCAGTTAAGGCCATCCTGGATTAGAGTGGGCCCTAATCTAATTACTGGTGTGCTAAAAGACAGAAATAGGGACACCATGCTGAGAATAACATGTGAAGACAGAGGTGACAGAGGGAAGAAGTCCTTGTGAAAATAAAGATAAAACTCATGGTGCTACCAGCCAAGGAATGACAAGGATTGTTAAGAACCACCAGAAGTTGGAAAAGGCAA